AATCTGTTCTACCTAACATAGATGGTGTGATATTACGGGTTTCCACTCCATGGTAACCTTTCCTCATTGCTATAGAAACATTTGATACAACTTGATTAATCTCAGATGCATATTGTGCATAGAAGATGTAATCTGAGTTTTTAGCAAATCTACCATCAGCATTGAGCAGTCTAGCATTAAGATATTTTGATAGAGTAAGTTTTTGCTCTCTGACTTCATGGAATGTTCCTATTCCTTTTGGGAAAAGAACAGGAAAACAGTTTGCCTCATTAGCAATGTCAGTAAGCAACTTGACAGGATTGTTTCCTTCAGCAGGGGCTACTGACAAAACACTGTCAAAGTGATTGTCCAGAACTTCCTGTGCAATATCTACAGGTTGCATGCATGTATCCAAATACATACCATGCTGTTGTTTGTCATTAAAATGTTCATCAGTGTCATTGTCTTCTGTGTCATTGATCTGTGTTTTTTCAGCATGAATTTGTTCTGTATTGGCACTACAATTATCATCAGAAAGTTTTTGCAGCGGATTTGACCATGTACTGTTAATGTGTATATCATTATACCACTTGTTGTGGGATTTTAAGTAGCCAAGTGCATTGTGGACTTTCTGCGTATGTATGTACTGGTATTCGTAATGACCTTTGTAAGTAAGTTTTCTTTTCAACTTAACACGTATCATTAGATCCTGAGCTTCTGACCTTGGAAGAACTTTGCAAATAGCATCATTGTTTGATGGTACACAAGTTAYAGGACCATGGACACCATTTTGTCCTCCCCTTGGCAAAGCAACAAGTTTCATAAAGGGAATATTTTGTGCTATTAGATGTTGTTCTAAAGAGTTCAGTGTGCTCAGTTCTTTAGGAATAGGATCTAGTTGTAAGTTATTGGTAACACTTATTTCAGGTATGTTTCCATTGAGGATTTTACGATGACAAGTAAAACAAATCCATAATTTACCTGCATGGCTTTGTTGTAAGCTGCACTTGGAATTGCAAGTACTTACACATTGGTGAAAATATGTGTATGTAATGCATTTCTTTGCCACAGATGCAACTAGGGGATTTTTGTTTTCATATTGTTCAGTTTTACATTTAAGGACTTGATGTTCAAACATCAGTCTGTGACATACACAACAAACGTATTGTGGGCCTGATTTCGTCTTTTTCCAAAAGCGTTCAATGACAATATCCATGTTTTTTTTTTTGAGTGTGATTCCATGGTTCTTTTCTGTCTCACTCGTTGTTTTACAGAGTTACAATATTCAGAGCAATGTTTATATTTGTTTTTATTATAACATATCACTTTTTGTTTATGGTTAGGATTGTTGTTATATTTTCTTATACTCATTTCTTTAACTTTCTGTTGAAATGATTCATTTTTTTTATAGTTGTCTTTGCTGCGTTGTTTCAGCTGTTCTCTTAAATAAAGATTTGTTGCATAGTTTCTTTTATTGCATTGTTTTAACTTGTCTTTGAAGTCTAGTTGTGTTGCATACTTATWTTTACTGTAACTTCTTAAATGTTCTCTAAATAGTGGTTTTCTTGCATACTTCTGTTTACTGTCAATTTTTAACTGTTCTCTGAAATCAGGGTTTGTTGCATATTTGTGTTTACTGTCAATTTTTAACTGTTCTCTGAAATCAGGGTTTGTTGCATATTTGTGTTTACTGTCAATTTTTAACTGTTCTCTGAAATCAGGGTTTGTTGCATATTTGTGTTTACTGTCAGTTTTTAACTGTTCTCTGAAATCAGGGTTTGTTGCATAGTTGTATTTATTGCGTTGCTTCAACTGTTCCTTGAAATCAGGTTTTATTGCGTAGTTTAGCTTGCTTCTGTGCTTTGTTTTTTGATTGTAAATTTTATCATTTGCATACCTTTCAAGGCTATCTTTTTGTTTTTGTTTTTTGTACTCAAGGTTATTTTCATATTTGTATTTTGCTTTAAATTTTTTTTTTTTGCAGTACTCTTCAGATTCAGCATATCTTTTTTCCCCTTTTTTATCATTACAGACTTTTGATGGGGATGATGAAATAACGGGATGTTTCACACTGAGAAAGGTTTTCAAACTGACACAAGTATTTGCATGTTTTTCCTTTACACATGCTATGGGTTCATAATGGCATTCATTGGCATGATATAGATATATTCCTTTTTTCTAATTACAGTATTTGAGCCATACTTTAACCATCTCTGCTGACTGTATATGAAAATGTCTACTTGGAAGAAATCAGACGCTGCTTTGATTTCAACCTCTGTCGCCCATGTCCCTGTATATTTCATGTGTGAGTCTTTTAAGTATTGTGGCACAGATGAAAATTCTTGTCGAATGAAATTACAATAAATGTTTTCATTGGTTGCAATGTGTTTCACAACAGCGGAACGAATATTCTTATGATTATCTTCTGTGCCACTAAAGATATTTGATAGGGCACGGAAAAAACAATTGCCATCTGACATAATATCAAAGGTTGTGCATGGTACAGGCTGGTCCAAGGTAAGGCTTTTATTGACATGTTGTACTTGCTGTAAACTAGGAACAATGTTAAGTCTAATACAGGTGTTTTGTTTTTCTGTTGTTGTTAGCTGTGTAAATGTTAAACTGGTGTTGTTACTTTGGGATACTAAACAAATACCATTGTCTTCATTAATTTCTTCAGGTGTATGTAACCCTTTTTTATTTGAGCATCTATCTGACATTTCATTGTACATGCTAGTTGAACCAGTATTGTGATCAATTTCTGTAGCTTTTTTTGAAAAAGGAATTGTAACKGCAATCTTGACTCCAGTCACTTCAAAATACATGTCCTGAGCATCATCATTACCATCATTCAGTGACTGAATAAGGTTGCTTAGGTGTGTTTTTAACAACTGTACTGTATCATGGTGTGCAACTATGCTTGTACCATTATGAAACAAACAGCCATAATAGTTGCGTGCATGTGGATCAAATAAKGAAAAACTGTTTCTATGTCTTAACACTGCACATGTGTTTCTTCTGAAGGTGAACAAACAACCATCATTGCCATCTAACGCTTTCTTTAATGCAGCATCTATAGGCATGGCAATATTTGCAATATCTGGATTATATTCTTGTACAAAGATATTTCCTGTGAAAGTCTCTTGATATTGTAACGTGAATGTATATTCACCCATAACATGTTTTCTTGGAAGTTCACTTACAAATATGTAACCATTGGAACCACTTATCATGTTGTGTTCTTTCATGTAAGTATACATGTTATTGCCATGTATTAAAATATCATCAATATCATCTCTTGACCATTTTGTAGCATTATTTACAGCATTTGTCATTATGGCTGTAATGCTGTTGGCGGCACACTGTTTATACCTATTTAGCCCGAAACATTCGTGACCTTGATGGAAAGAACCTTGAACAATAAATCTGAAATTGTTAAGACTTGCTTGCTCCGGATCAGAGTAAGAATCCATCAGGTCCACTGGTCCAACAATTGCTTCATCTTTGTTACAAACCTATAGTAGCCAGATGAAAATGACAGAGAAATTAACCTAGAGAAATTGCAGTGTTCATMACAAAAATAAATTGTTTGAACCATTAATTCATAGAGTTTGTGGGGAATAAAGAGAAGACAAATCATRCCTGATCCAAATCAGAATTAACATCAGTTATGTCCATAGGAACAGCAGCTGCTTCATCTGTGTCACAAACCTAAMCAAAAAGTGGAAAGTAGCCTCTTTTAAAAATTATAAAAGGTGGACTGCACTTAACACTAAAAACACAGTAAAGTATCAAATGTATTAAATAGATGAAAATTTTCAGAACATATTTAAGAYGTTCTTTAATAATTTGCCATTAGCTGTGATCATGAGCCAAGGGAGTGATTGTGTACATAGTTTTGTGTGTAAAGAACTTTGTTTTTAAAGAAGTACTCAAAGTTGCTGCAGGAAAATAAAACAACAAAAAAAAGAAATTAAAACAGTTGTACTTCAGAAAATATTAAACAAGACTGCACTAAAATTTTTAACAATGTGATCTGAATATTTTAGAAGTTCTTTTAAAATACGAAAATAACAGGAAAAGCTTTGGGTAAKAGGTCATCATACAAATAAGCCAAAACACATTTATATCATAGAAAAGTGGCAATGTGTAATGTAATATTTTTTGATAAAASTTATTGTCAATTGCAACCTAGTAGCAACTGTAGCACATGATGATTTTTTGTTTTTTATTGTACTTGCACGTTGTCTGTGTATGCATTTACTGTACATTGTAGTTTCTAAAATCTTGTGTTGGAACCTAACATTTTTTAAGTTGTCAAATTGTGGCGCAATACCATGACAATTTTATTTGTATGAACATGTGTTCTTTTAAGATTTGTATTACCCTGATCGGATACTTTGGTGCCTGATCAGAAAGTAAGACATTTTCCTCTTCAATAGCCAGTGTTGAAACAGTGGAGGAACATGGAAGCTGTGACATGTCTGYCACTGGTGAAGCAGACTTTTCCTGTAAAATAAGTAGTAGTATCAAAAATGTATATGCTCATTTACTTGTAATTCTCTGAAGTTGTGTTCTGTCAATATTTTAATTACTCTGATAGGATCCTTTGGTGCATCAACAGAAGGCGACTTATTTTCCTCTTTCATTGTCACTTTTGCAAGAGAAGACAATGGTGGAACATGTGGGATCCCTGTCACATTTGCAGTTGCATTTATCTGTAAAGGAAAAAACAACAAAAAAAAAGACAGTAGTCTTACAAAACATTTAACACATACTTTTCAAAAAATAAAAATTKAAAAATATGTTTGTCTTTTATTCTACTTCAAAATGTTGAAATGTATATTTAATACAGTTATGTCACCTTATTTAAAGAAGTACTAAAATAAAATTTAATACATATAAAAGAGTTAAGCATTTACATAAGCTTTTTCAACAAATTATTTTCATTAGGTATATGACCTTTTTCTTTGTACGTTGTGGTACAGACACATTGGAAGATCTCTCATCATCCTCCAAAAGTTTCATGACGTTGCTGGGGAACCACACAGGATTCAGCACAACAGAACACTCCTTCAGAGTAAACGTTTTCTGTGAAAAATATTAAAAACATTTTGAATTTTTAAACCCAATGTTTTATATACTTAAACTGTAACACCTTTCTTTGCAACTATGCAAGGTGTATTTTTAAATAAACATGAACTTGTAAATGAAGCACTTTTCTCTTAGGTGACATTTCTTGACAAGCACAACATAGCAGTGGTTCCCAAAGTGTGGAGCGCGCCCCCTAGAGGGTGTGCAGTGCCTTTGCAGGTGGGGTGCACGACTGAACAGAGGGGAGTGGGGGAATGCTCAGACGTTGTTTGCATAATGTTCTGTACAGTTTTTTCATGGAGATTTATTSTTAATGAACAATCCTCTTTTTTTTCCTCTCAGGGTGTTGTTCATGTTTAAAAACCCACTTTGCACAGAAATACTTCTTTAAGTTTTATTGAAGCAATGTTGAATATTTTCACAAAGTTAAAAAAAACATTAGTTAAATAAGTACTGTTAAGATGTTGTTTTTAAGAGGTTGTAATTTCATCCCCACAAGGATAGAGAGACATAGTGTGTGTGTGTGTGTGTGTGTGTGTGTGTGTGTGTGTGTGT